CCTACTAATCACATTTATGAACCCACTGCCTTGAACCAACTGAAGGAAGAGATCAAACATGCCCTTTCACTCTCAGGACAAGTCTCTCTAATAGCCATTCCTTTCCTCACTTTAAAATCAAGGCAAAACCAGATACTGAGTGGAAGAATCCACTACAAGTCTACCTACAACCTAACCCCCAACCCTTTAGTTTCATCTGAGTCTCCAGTTCCCATACACGTTCTCATTTTCCTTCCTCTTTACTGTCCATGGACTCATCCCCAACACTTGATATTTAGCAAGGTCTTGAACTAAGTTTTAAATGATCAACCATGAGGGTTAACAAGTTTTCCTTTCTAAGGCATTTAGAATTTTAAAAGGAGATGAAAGCTTGTCCAATAGTCACAGATTACACTTTTCAAGTATATAGCACCTCAGTAACAATAAGTCCACCTAGTACCTAGATCTTGGTTTATAATTCCATTCTTCAATAAAATGAACCAGGGTTCCTTTGAGAAATGAATGCTATAGGATTAGTGCAAGAAATACATAAAATAAACCTGGACCACCCAGGTCTTTCTCCCGAAATGCTGCTGTTGGTTTCCAATTGCTGACTTTCTACTCCCGTAAACATGACCTGGTCCTGCACCATCCTCACAGTTGTTCCAATGTTGCAGCCACTGAGTCAATCCGTTGGGTCCGGGGTCTTCCTCTATTTTGCTGCCCCTCCTCTTTGCCTAGTATGATGTCCTTCTCCAGGGACTGGTCTCTACTGGCAACATGTCCAAAGTATGTAAGATGAAGTCTTGCCACCCTTGCCTCTAAGAAACACCCTGGCAGCATTAGTTAATTTAATAAATCAATATTACTATTAACAACTGTACCATGCTAATGTAACATGTTAATTATGAAATTGGGGGTTGAGGTATATGGAAACTTTCTGAAAATCTATATTGGTTCCATAAAATAGTCTTGCAAAGAAAACCAAAAAGTGATGTGTTGTAACACCCAGGTATTTTGAGTTGTATGTAGCATTGAGCAAACCTACTGTAAAAATCCTCTTTAAAGAGTTAAATCATAAAGATGTCACTTTGAGGATGAAGGTGGACCTGACCCAAGTCATGCATTTTTTTTCAGTCACCTGATATACGTGTGAAAGTTGAGCATGCATAAAGATGACCAAAGGATTGATACCTTTGCGTGTTGGTGAAATATACTAAATAGACCATGGACTTCCACACACACAAAATCAACAAATCTGTCTTGGAAGAAGTACAGCCAGAAAACTCCTTGGTGAAAATTTATCTCACATACTTTAGATATGTTATCAGTGGGGGCTAGTCCCTGGAGAAGAGTCTCATGACTCATAATGTAGAGGCAGACCCTCCATGGGTGAACTGACCTAACGGCTGAACAATGGACCCCAGCATAGATAAGATGGTGAGGATGGCATGGGACTGAGCTGGATTTTCATCTGTGATACATGGTGTTTCCATGACTGTCTCAGAACTGACTCGATGGCATCTAACAGCAATGACAACTGCAGTTATCGTAGGGAATTTTCTGTGAGGAAGTCCCAGCCACAGACACTCCTAATATTATTAGGGTTTGCTGCCTACATTTCTAATTTAAAAAATGCTCAGTGGCAAGTTTGAAATAGAGTTAGTGAAACTAGAGATGTTATTCTCCCATCTGTATTCCATAAATTCGATATAGATCAAGAATCCCTGCTATATAGTAATATTAATGGTCAAACTTTATGAAAGTGTTCCCCAGAGAGATTTAATAGTTCTGGTTTTCAAAGATCACATATTTTAAGACCAGGAATTTTGCTTTTTGTAAGTCTTCTTTTTTCTATACAACCTCCCAGTTTTGGAATGAGTAAGAAGAGCTGCAAGAACCCATCACTGAGCAAAGGTGCTTTCCTGTCCATGTGCCATCAATGCATTAGGTGGTCAGACAGTTCTACCCAGGAAAGCTAGCCAAACCTAAAGGTGGACAATTCCATAAACAAGGCCAGTAGACTAATGGAGATACACCCCACAGAATCCTAGGGACAGGGAGAGTCACTACTTGTAAATACCTGTTTCCCCGAAAATAAGACCTACTTACAGTTTTGCCTCTAGCTGAAATATAAGGCATCCCCCTGAAAATAAGTCCTCCCCGAAAATAAGCCCACCCACCCACCCACCCAGCTACCATAACTCTGGACTCTGGACCCTAGCTGTGGGAGCTGCCCCGCAGCTCACTGTTGGCCACAGCGCAGCAGGAGCAGATAGGAGCAGACAGAAGTGCGAGGTCTCTTTTAATAAAACAATAAAATAATAAATAATAAATGTGAACCATATTCTTCTTCATGGAAAAAGAAGACATCCCCTTAAAATAACACCTAGCGCATCTTTGGGAGCAAAAATTAATATGACACTGTCTTATCTTCGGGGAAACAGGGTAACTCTAGTGAACCTTGATCGGATGCAAGGAAGAGATTAGATTCAGGGCACTTCTTTGGCTTAAACTGTTGATCGGTTCAGGAATTTACAAAGGAAGCTTAGGAGGTAGAGTGGTAGGGCGGAGAAGGAAGGAAGGGCGGGAGAAAACGAGAGAGAAAGAGCAAGAGAGAGCAACCTTGTTAATAACCGGTGTCTAATTAAAGAGATTCAAGGGGTGGGGTAGGGTCTTTTTAAATTCTTTTCTGGACCAGACAAGATGGGAAAAAGGCCCTGTGGGGGTGGAGGTGGGGAGGCAAGCGCGAGGGCGGCAATGTCGCTTTCATCTCAAATTCGGATGTATCCTTTGGGATCCAGAGCGGCACAGACGTCTGTTAAAGAGGCGTCTGCTTACAAATTTCCAAAGGTTCTAGCTGTGACCACGAGGAAGGCGTTGGAGGGAACATCTGTCCTTTACCGCGCCATTCAACAGCACCATCCTAGGGAGTCCCCGGTCTGTTTTCTTGGGCGCCTTCTGCCCCATTTCCCCACTCCTCTGGGAATTTCCCTTTTCCATTACGTAGGCGAGAGGTCCCCGGCTTTCATAGTTAGGGGTGTATGCGTGTATTTGTGTGTGTATGTACCGTTTGACAAGGGAGTTAGAGTGATCATCCATGTAAAATACGTCCGGAGTGGGGAGTGTAAGGAGACCAGCTCGGCTCTCCAATCGGCGAAATGAACAATAGGACCCGGGAGACTGAGGGTGGGACACCCACAGGCCGCATGGAGCAGTCCAACCAGCGCGGGGGCCGGGGGCACCGGCGTGAGACGCGCTCTGCAGAGAACGTCTCTCTGGCTCCTTTCTCTCGGTCCGCGATCGGCGGGGCCT